ACAAAGCTAGTGGTAAAAGCTGAGCTCTGCTAAAACAGAGATAAGGTGCCCACTCCTGAGGTCAGGAAGACTTCCCTGTCTGCACACGTGTAGGGAGGTTCCTTGAAGGTCAAAGAGGGAGGAGGCCCCACCCCATAATTAGTGTGGAAATGCACCCATAGGCTTCTGTGGTGGGATTTATCTTAGCAAAAAGTTCCACACGCATCTTGGGGAGGATCCATGGACCTGATGAGTCAGGTGTGAAGAAACAAGATAATTGGCCAATAGTAAACAAAGACCAGAAAGACTGTTCTGTACAAGTGATTTACATCATCTCTGTACTGCACTCCTCTTCACTCAGGACGCCCACAGTCCTCTCCAGGCATGTATCTATGCCTAACTTCTGACTTACTGTGCCTCTCCTCATTAGAGAGGATGCCCATACCCTTTCTTTCTGGGTGTGTATCTCTGCCCTGCTTCTGAGTTGGATAAATAAATTGTTTTCCTGTGTGCTCCACCATACATTGTTCTGTGTCTTCAATAATAAATTTTGCAACTGTTTTTATAGTTTTTGCCTCCTTGAAACATTCTTGCTTTCAAATAGGGGCAAGATCCAGGGCACTTTGCTTCTGGCTCTAGCCTCTTGTGGTCTAGTGGCTAGCGCTCTTGGTTTTCATTTAGGTGTCCTAGGTTTAATTCCTGGGCAGGGAGCTAAGATCTCTCTTCAGGACCACTGACTGCCCTCCCTCCCAGATCATGACTACAGAAAGACTGCTGGAATTCGTGAAACCCATGTAAAAAAGAAGTAATCATTTTTTATGGACTTATCCAGAAAAGCTTTACAGAGAGCTGGTTCTAAAGAATGGATAGAATTTTAATAGCTAGAAAAGAGTGGAACAGTATGAGCAAAGGTCTGAAAATTAGAAAACTCGATGGAGAGTTTGGAAAAAGTGAATAATATACAATGGTCACCCAAATTCTGGTGCTTTAACAAGTGATAGTTGCATTCATTATTCTTTACCTTTCTATTTAATTAGAGATCTTAGACACTAAAAAGATTAAGGTGGTGTTCTCATTGATACACACATATCATATATATATTTAAAATAAAAGGAAGAGGGTCTTTAAAATGAGTCGAAGTTAAAATTCTGATTTGCTTCATTTTGGAATAATAAATCTTTCGGATGAGGTGTTGTTGGTTCCTATAATTTGCTGATGGATTAAGTTTACAAGATCTTCCTTATCCTGCCACTGGGAAATCCAGGACTATGGCTAGCAGAATTAACCTTAGAGAATGCAGCTAATCTCCCAACGTTTTTAATTTTTACATAAGAATGAGATTAGATTCACAGTTTCTCAATCTCAGCACTGCAGATATTTCTGTTGTTGTTCACTTACTAAGTTGTGTCTGACCCTGCGACACCGTGGACTGCAGAACACCTGGCTCCTCTGTCCTCCACTATCTGCCAGAGTTTGCTCAAACTCATGCCCACTGAGTCAGAAATGCCACCTAGCCCTCTCATCCTCTGACACCCCTTCTTCTTTTGCCTTCAGTCTTTCCCAACATAAGGGTGTTTTCCAATGAGTCAGCTCTTCCCATTAATTCTGTGTTGTAGAGACTGCCTTGTGCTTTGCAGGGTGGTGAGCAGCATCCTACTAGATGGCAGTGGCGGTTGTAACAACCACACATGTGTCCAGATATTGGCAGAAGTCCTCTGGGGGCGGGGTGGGGGGTGGGGATTGGAATCACACCTTAAGAACCAGGGCTCAGAGGAAGGAATTAAGACTACTGAATTAACAGGAAAACCCATCAAATTTCCCTGGGAAATTCAGAAAGACCTTTTCGAGCTCTATTTGCACTTATACATTAATTGACTATTTGAGTAAAAAGACACTTGTGTGTATTAGCTATTAAGGCCAGTATTAGGCCAAGAGATGAGTAAGTAGATAACTAATTATATACAAGCAGAAAGACTAACACAAATCAGGAAACCATTAAAGGCCATTCACAGCCAACACAGAAACATTGCTATCTGCACCTGTGAGTAACACTAGATACAAAATAATGAAGCCTATCAGAAAATTATCAGTCTGAGGGATAAGCTATTTTTTGAAACTGTGGCTTCCTTGAGCTTCAAAAACCAATAAAGGCAGCAAAACTAATTCTCACTTGGAAAGGGGTTTGTTTATTCTGCTTATCTATAGCCAAAGCTAACAGTCTTAATGGTTTTAAAGATCTTAATATTTCACAGCATTGGGAAGGCCTTATTTGCAGATAGACATATCTATGTATAAATGAGCACATGTCTAAATGAAAGCATTTACTTAACTATTTCCAAACAATAAGTTTGAGGGCAGACAAAATGGTGAGCTGGTTATCTTTTTTTTTCTCAGTTAAGACCCAAAGTAGAATTTTAAAAAGAAGAAAAGAGGAAGGCAGGAAGGATGGAAGGAGAAAAAGAAGAGGATGGGCGAAATGAAATCTCATAACCATAATCTCCTTGCTGCTATTTTAAGAAAAATTCTGAGATATTTTTTATGCTTCTAGACTTTTAAGCAACTTGAATGTATCAATAGATACCATGTTACTTTCACCTTTATATTCCCAGCTCATAAAACATGCCTTATACAGTAAGTGATTAATACAGGCTTGTGATGTGAATTAATAAGATGAAAAAGGAAAAAGAATATCAATTAAAAGCTTAACTATATGAATATAAAGATTAAATAAATTTTAATCTGAATTCCCTTGTTACTATTTTTATTGAGACTCTCAGCCTCTCATTCCAAAACCCTTATCCTTTTACATGATTAAATTTATACGTACTGAATTATAAAGTACTTCTTTAATTTCACAGAATTCCCAAAATAGCCCCATGAAGCAAAAACCGTTATTCCTCTCATACAGAAAATACAATATTACAAGCTCAGAAAGATTAAGTGATGCCATAAGTAATAGAGCAGAACTCAACACAAGCTTCGATTCCAAGCCACCCTGAGTATACAGTATATCAAGTGAATGTCAGTAGAGAATAACGTTTAGCTTGTTGCAGTGTTTCAATTGCACATAGTGGTTTTAAAAAACATGCACTGGTGTCAGACTCCCAATGCCCACAAATTACTAGTTTCGGATCTTGAGCAAGTTATTTTAGCTTTCTGAATCTGTCTCTTCATCTGAAGAACTGAGTGGTGATATCTACCCCATGGATTTGATATAAAGATTAAAGGAGATGGTGAATTTAGCACACTTAGCACTTGCCCCCTCAGTCATAACCCACTGCCATATTTCATCTCCAATACAAAGGAATCTATGTAATAGTAGGTATTGTTTATTTGGAGTTCTGAAGATGTCCAAACCATTTATGGCAATACCAGTCCTTTCTGGTTTTCAGAACCTCTTGCTGTTTTAAAAACTTTTACCCCTTAAAAGTTGAATTCTCTGATTACTCAAAATTTGGACAGATTTTGTGTTAAGATATTTGTGAAGTCTTGGGTCTGGGTAAGTAGAATTTGATGATAGAACATAAAAGAAAGCTTTCTAGTTAAAGAATTCACTAGGAAGATCTTTGAAATTTCAGTTCTATATTTGCAAAATTCAGGAGGCAATATAGGTTTGTATGAATTAAAAAAAAGAGTGCTTATTTTGAGATTGGTACTGTTGTAAATCTGATGATACCACTCTAATGGCAGAAAGCAAAGAGGAACTAAAAAAACTCTTGATGAGGTTAGAGGCGGAGAGAAAAAAAAAGCCAGCTTAAAGCTTAATATTAAAAAACAACAAACTAATATCATGGCATCAGGTTCCATCACTTCATGGCAAATAGAAGGGGAAAAGGTGGAAGCAGTGGCATATTTCCTCTTCTTGCGCTCTAAAATCACTGTAGATGGTGACTGCAGCCATGAAATTACAAGGTGATTGCTTCTTGGCAGGAAAGCTATGGCAAACCTAGACAGTGTGTTAAAAAGCAAAGATACCACTTTGCTGACAAAGGTCTATATAGTTAAGTTTATGGTCTTTACAGTTGTCAAGTACAGTTGTGAGAGCTGGACCATAAAGAAGGCAAAGCGCTGAAGAACTGATGCCTTTGAACTGTGGCGCTGGAGAAGACTCTTGAGAGCCCCTTGGACAGCAAGGAGATCAAACCAGTCAAACCTAAAGGAAATCAACCCTGAATATTCACTGGAAGGACTGTTGCTAAAGCTGAAGCTCCAATACTTTGGCCATCTGATGCAAACAGCTGACTCATTGGAAAAGACCCTGATGCTTGGAAAGATTTAAGGCCGAAAGAGAAGAGGTCAACAGACGATGAGATGGTTGGATGGCATCTGTGATTCAAAGGACATGAACTTGGGCAAATTCCAGGAGATGGTGAGGGACAGGGAAGCAGGACATGCTGCATTCCATGGGGTCAAGAAGAGAGTTGGACACAACTTGGTAACTGAATGATAATGAACAATTGTAAATGCTTTACCTATATTAGCTCATTTCAACCTGACACCAACATACCTGAGGTAGGTTTTATTATCACCATCCTCATTATATACAGATGGGAGAACAGGTACTGAGAGGTTAAACAACTTGACCAAGTTAACCCAGCTAGAAGTATCAGAGATGACTTGGGTCTAGAGTCCATGCTCAGACCCAGGGCACTATACTGCCTCTTTCCAGAGTATCCAATCACTAATCAATCACACACTCACGAGGAGTTTACAGAATGGTGCAAATCACCCTTACTCCTATCAACTCATAGAGATGTCTGTAGCAGCTGCTGCTATCCTGCTCCATACTTCTTTGGCTCCCACTTCACTGACACCTAGGGCTTCTCAGGTGGCTCAGTGGTAAAGAATACGCTTGTCAATGCCAAGCCACAGGAGACTTGGGATTGATACCTGGGTTGAGAAGATCTCCTGGAGGAGGAAATGGCAACCCGCTCCAGTATTTTTGCTGAGATAATCCCTTTGGTGCTGTGATTTTCACTAATAGCTACAGTAAAATCCATGACAAATAGACAAATTCTTACCTGGGTTTCTCTTGACACTGCCTGAAGGCTCTTTCAGGGACTATGAAAGCAGGACCTGTGAAAGACAGGAACAACTTAAAGTACAGGAGAATTAAAGACCCTAGGAATAAACTTCAACTAATACAAAATAGAAATTAATGCCCAGCCTCCCCATCACATTCACTTTCTCAAAGGGCCCCTAGTGGAACTGAGTCCAGTTGGCCCCCAGCAGTAACGTGTTCATTGAAATACCTAGTATTGGCTCTCCGTGCTTCCTTGCCTCACTTTCCATACTTCCCCACTTAACGTTTTCTGGGATCATCTTATCATTTTATCATTTTATCATCTTATCATTTTATTTTATTTTCCATTTATTTTTATTAGTTGGAGGCTAATTACTTTCCAATATTGTAGTGGTTTTTGCCATACATTGACATGAATCAGCCATGGATTTACATGTATTCCCCATCCCAATCCCCCCGCCCACCTCCCTCTCCACCTGATCCCTCTGGGTCTTCCCAGTGCACCAGCCCCGAGCACTTGTCTCATGCATCCATCCTGGGCAGGTGATCTGTTTCACCCTTGATAATATACATGTTTCGATGCTGTTCTCTCAAAACATCCCACCCTTGCCTTCTCCCACAGAGCCCAAAAGTCTGTTCTGTAAAAAATAGACCGGGCTTCCCAGGTGGTGCTAGTGGTAAGAAACCTGCCTACCAATGCAGGAGACATAAGAGATACGGGTTTGATCCCGGGGTTGAGACGATCCCCTGGAAGAGGACATGGTAACCTATTCCAGTATTCTTGCTTAGATAATCCCAAGGACAGAGGAACCTGTCAGATTACAGTCCATAGAGTCCCTCAGAGTCAGACACAACATAAACAACTTAGCATTCATGCACCCATGGCCTTTTCTCAAGTTCTGCTTTGGAGAAACTCATCAATATTAATGAGCTAGGCATCTGCAGTTTCCTGCTGTCTCCAATTTCACAATCCCTTTGACACCAGCTCCATCTCCATCAGCTTGCCAAGGATCAGGCTCCACGGGAGGAGCACAGTGGAATAAGGAAGGGCTTCAGAAGACTGATTCTTTGGAATCTTCAAACTGAAACAAAACACTTCCTCTTGTTGATATCAACTGTGCTCATAATATTGCTTCAGCATGTTATGATGTTAGCTAAATTTCTTTCTCTCTTCTCTAAGGATTTTCTATCAAGAAGGAAGAGTATGGGTAAATAAGGGGTAAGAAGGGAAGAAAACACCATAGCATCAGACAAGGATTCCAAAGAGTTACTAGTGTATCTAACAAGATGGTCATGAATGTGCTGCATGTGTCGTTAGGAAGCTGAATGATCCTAATAAGTGACATCCTTCTGAGATATGGGATTCAGCGGAAAGAGTATGCACAAATCTTGATACATACATACCTGACTTTGAACTTCAGCTTTATCAAAAAGGGTATGACATTAAGCAAATTAATATCCTAAAGCCCAATTTTTTATACATATACAATAGTGTGGAAATATTTACCTCTCAAAACTGTTGAAGATTTAAATGAAATAATGTATATGAAACTTGCTGGCAGATGTTTATCAAATATTAGTTTCCTTTCCTTATCTACCCATGGCCCACCCCAACCTGCTATCCCACAGAGAAAATACCATGGGAAGTTTTCTTTATGATCTGAAAATCTTATATATGTTAGAGATCTCTGCTGTTCTATGGCATTAACATCCTGGAAATTCTAAATTTTTATAGTTAAAGAATTCTGTAAGCATTTCTTTTGTGGGCATTATGTGCCAGATTCTTCAGGTTAATTAAGGAAAAGTAAAGCAGTTAGGGAAAGTCAGGACAGATGAAAATAAACATCAGATGTTGAAACTACAATGTGTCCACTAACACAAATGAATACTACCTTCTATTATGTGCCACTGAAATAGCAAGGGAATAGATAAACCTCCCTATCCCTATGACAAATGGACTGGTTTTCAACAAACTTTTTTTTTTTTATTTAAAGCAGCAGCAGCAGCAGAGGGCAGACACTTTTTATCTCTATATCCAGTATAGACTCTTCTACCTTCCACATTTCTCCCGTGGAGTCATGTGGTCCCTAACAAAGGTGTGACGTTTAGAGGATTAGCAAAAACAAGTTTTGAACATAAGTGCACTTCATAATGTTTTGACTAATTTAGCAGACTAATCTAGCTTTAAATTAGAGGAGTATGCATGTACGGGAATAACTGCTCTTTCAGAACCTGAAACTGCCTTTAATTCTTAGAACTTCAACTTTCTCAGGGCAGGACCTAAATTTAAGATCTGACGAGAAAGCCGGGGAGGATGCCCACCCATAAAGTTATCCATTCCACAGAGACAGACAAAAAGCATAGGGAGCTGTGGCACTGGCTCATCCAACATCCAGCTTGCACCACAACTTAATGCTTACATCGTGGTGGACCACTCACTTCTTTAGTGATGAAGTTGTGGAGAGTGGCTAGGTCTCAGCTCTCATGCCAAGTCACATGATCAATGCAATATCTGTACATGCATGTGGGATTCAGAGAAGTCTAGAACATTCAGAAAGTCAATATTCCCAGACCTCCAACCTTCAATAACTGCTTTTTTTTTTTTAACTATTGTGCTTAGTTTTGGATGTTTTTTAATTATTACTCAGAGTTCCTAGTTTCTGTTGGCTAGTTTTTATTCCTGGGAAGCAGTGTTTTATAGAGGTAGCAACATTTGTTAAGTAGAACTATAACTTCTGGATTTGAATACTTACTCTGCCACTTGATAACTATATAAGCTCTCTATGCCTCAATTTCTCCACCTATAGAATTAGAACTGATAACAAATATATAAAAATTTTCTTTCTTAGAAATGAACATTTGCCAAAGGGAGATGATGGTTTACTGTGTTCTCTGATGTGACCTTCAGCTGCCCATGGCATTATCATCTTTATAAACCCTGGACAATGGTACCAACAATTATGATTCATTATCATGGCTTACATTTTGCTGCCTGGGTGAAACTGTTTGGATGGTTACTAAAACTTCTCTATTGTGTCTGTTTTGTGACATTAATTCATCTAAAAATCAAACCATTGCACAAAGTCAGGGAACCATTCTTTCCCATTTCAGCAAAAAATAGCAAATGTAACTCCTCTCAGAGCTGAAAAGGTGAGTGGCATTTCAATTACCATGGCACTTCCTGGGCTGTTTCAGTGAATATGTAGTATTTTCAGTGCATTTTTAGCCTGTAGGGACAGACTTCATGGTAGAGGAAAGATTCACTGAGCAGCTTCAAACAGAAGCAAACCTTTATAGTACTCCAACCAGCACTGATAGCCAGTGACAGAACTACCATGGGAGAGAACAAGAGCCATAACATGTTCAAGCTGGAATAGAAGAGCTTTCATGAGTCCATTCTTTGGTTCCTTAGGTCACAGATGATGAAACTAAGGAACGGAGAGATCAAGCTGTAATGAAATTGATTTCCCATTAACAAAGCTAATTTCAAAACCACGATCAAGTAAACATGTACAAAGGGAATTATGTCCATGAGAATATATAAAATCTAACAATTGGTCTAGATCTCCACCATCAACGCCTTTTCACTTATTACCACTGCTCCAAAGTATTCAAACAATGAAATGCATCATACATTTTATAAACAATATGTGACTTACTTTCAAACTATAGACTCTACAGTTGATGCAAGGTTCATGCAGTATATTGAGGACAATAGGCACACGAGGGAGAGTAGAGTGTGCGCCTGGATCATTCACTACCATCAATTCTGGAAACTCGAGTATGGAGGACAGAAGCTTGTCGCTTGATGCCAGTTTCTCTTTAGCCTTTTTCAAAGCAGTAAAAACAGGAATGCAGGGGGCATTCCTTTCATTTTACTACAAATCTTGGCATCATGACACATACAATGATGTGCCCATAGTCTCTCCCAGGAACATGAGTGAAGTTCATTCATAAGATTCTCCTTATTGCTAAGACTCTCTCCTGCTGCTCTATACTAATAGTCCCAATATAAGATCTGGGAGAATCCAAGTGTGAAAGACTTTAGAAATCAGCAGTGAAATTTTCAAGTAGATAAACTTTTTCTGTTACACCTTTTCATTCCCTCCCTGAGGATCTGGTTTCCCATTTCCATTTTCTCCCTCCCTCCAGGGCTCTTTGCATCCATTTTCAAGAGGTCCAGGCTCTTTCTGTTAGATCATATGTAAGAAAATTAAATTCCTGCTTAACTATAATGCCCCTCAGGATGCCTACTTTTTAAATAATGACTCTCTATAAAACCAAGAGGTCACCAAAAGTCAACCAGTTGAATTTTAGGTGATCTAATACTAAACAAATAGCAGGTACCTTTCAGACAGTGTGGGGCAAGCGGGGGGCGGGGTTTCTTACACTCCCAAATCAAGATCACATGTGAAAGCAGCTGCTTCTATGTTAGCTTCCCCATTTGCAGGACTTACTTTAAAACAAAAAGGACCTTGGCAATATTACGACTGACTCCACCAGAATTAAAGGACACACAGAAGATAATCCATAGGACTTGGTGACATTTATGCTTTGAATTGTTAAGCTTCAGACTAAAGACAGAAGAAAGTAAACATCGCCTTCATCTGCTCCTTCCTATCTCAAGTCCTTTGCACATGGCTTCTTTTGCCTGAAGTGCTCTTCTAAATGCTCCCCATCAGTCCCCCCATTTGCCTCACTGATTCCTACTTTTCTGTCAGTGCTCAGGTGATACTGATTCAGCAAAGAGTTCTCAAGTGCCCAGAATAGATCACCTCATTCTGCTCTAAATCTCTCTGTTCTATTGCTCTATATAAATACATATAGTCAGACGCTGCTGCTGCTGCTAAGTCGCTTGTCATGTCCGACTCTGTGAGACCCCATAGATGGCAGCCCACCAGCCTCCTCTGTCCCTGGGATTCTCCAGGCAAGAACACTGGAGTGGGTGCCATTTCCTTCTCCAATAGTCAGATGAAGTTGACCAATTCCAGCTATCTTTATTTACAATAATCAACTGAGGGTTCACTGTTACATACCAAGTCTCAGTATCACAGAGGGCTTTCCTTCTCGCTAGGGTTTCTGTGCAAAGTGCTGACAGCCTGGTTGCTACTAAAGTTCTGTTCTGCATTTTCCACAAAAAACCTCCATAATTATACAACTCATTTATCATCATGAGCTATGTGAATAAAACTAAAACTGTGGCACCTAATATACTAGCATTCAGCTGTTAGGTAAATTTGATACCTCTTCCCTCTTTTTTACAAGAATTTTTATAACTGGACTTTCTAGCATATTATTTTTGCATCTCTGGGCCTATTCCTCCTCATTTCCTCTTGCCTTCTTATCTTTGCAAATTGCATTCCTATTCCCTTTTTATCTCTGGCCACTATTAGTGAATTTTATCCAGAAAATATTATTAAAATCAAACTAAGATAATGTCAAATGCCCTTGGTATACAGTCAGGGGTATGGAGATGAAGGGAAAGAGAGGGAAATAGTGATTTGTGTTTAGTAAAAATACAAAAAAAACTTTAGTTTGGGCTTAAGCATTACAGAAGAAGAGCAGAAAATAATAAATAGCAGTATTTCAATATGTTGGACAGAAATTGTTATATAAGTAATAACTATTTATTCAGTCACTCAGTCATGGCCAACTCTTTGTGATCCTGTGAACAAGCAGCCTACCAGGCTCCGCTGCCCACGGGATTTTCCTGGCAAAATAATGGAATGGGTGGCCATTTCCTCCTTTAGGGGATCTTCCCCACCCAGGGATCGAACCTGTATCTTCTGTGCCTCTGGCATTTCAAGCAGATTTTTTACTGTTGAGCCACTGGTGAAACCCGATACCTATTTAAGATATTTTAAATTTTTTAAAAAAAAACTAACAGTCTGTAACATTGTGTAATTGCTTATTTAGTTTCCTTTATCAATAAGGAATTCATTTCAAATCATCTGCATGAACAGGAAATACTAAAATGCAAATAAACCTTACCAAAAATTAGTCCATCCCAGTCTTCTCATAAATTACTTAATGTGTGTCAGGCTCCCAAATGCTCAGTGTAGAGTATGACAGGGAACTTGGTACTTTTACTACCGCATTGGAAGAAGTAAACAGGCTAAACAAAATGAGGCAATTTCCTTGAAGATACCTTTGAGGGGTTTGAATTTGGGTAGTCTGCTTCACAGTATGTAGTATTCATTGTGACATCATACTGTCCCATTCAACGTAAGGTCTGGAACTCTGAAGGATAGTCTGGCCAAGTATAGAAGCCAACGAGAGCTTGTGGGTTTGGACTTTCAAAGTGAACTCAGACCTTTTGGCATTTACATTTTCTATGTGGTGGACAAAATGAAAACTTCTATTTGAAAGGGGGGAAAGAACATAGTCTAAATGACTTCAAAGTCATGAACATCAAATAGTTCTTACCAAAAAACAGTACAATCACTGAAGTGTATCCAAATCAAAAAGTACACGGATTTGACAGCAATCTGATTCACAACATACCAAGAGCCATTTCGTGGTTATTATGGTTCCAAGTTAAATAGAAAACTCTTTCTTGCCTTTTTCTTCCCATTAATTAATTCCTGATTGGGCATTCCTTCTCTTTCAAGGGCATGTCAGGGGACACACTTTGGGGCGCTTCATCATTCAGGAAACGATGTTGGCAAGACAGCGAGGTTTGGCAGGGTAGGTGGCTTTGGGGCAGGCCTCTCCAGCACTGTCTCACCTCATACGGTCCAAATCAGCCGCAGCAGCAACTACAGGCACTTTTAGTCTGAATGTTTCACACTGGGTGTTTTTTCCATGTCCTTCAAAGTCTGTGGATGTAGAGATGGGCAAGTAATTGTGCCTACAACTTGGTAGTGTGGGCAGCTAAGATCAAAGCAAGGGAAATTGTACAAATTGTCCACTTGAATACTAAAGAAGCAAAGAAAGCCAAGCCACTCAACCAAGTATTACTTCTTTTTCTTTGAATTCCTTATATTTCTGATCCAAAAGTTTATATTCTAAATGGCTGGTTAGCAAAGCAGCAGAAGTGGCACATAGTCAAAGATTTTGAGATTGCTACCAGAAAACTTGACTTACAAAAAAAGAAGACCTAGACATTTTTATTTTGCTGCCAATGAAAAGAATAAATGGGCATAATTCAAATAATCATGTTAGGCAAATCTAGTTGTAGTGATTTACAGAGGAGCCCTGAGTTAGAAAATAGCATCAGCTTGAAAAAGAAATGAACTAGACCGAGGACACAGCTGAAGAACAAAAATCTCACAGAACACATTTCTTATCTTAAAAATGAGAGAGTTGGACTGCCATCTCCTCTGTGCCTTGCCATTTTAACATTCTATGACCCTATTTTATGTTAAATGGATGCATGGAACTAGATAGATCACTTATCTTGAGTAGGGGCTTTAAGTAATGAATCATAGATAGCATCCACCAATTCTTGGGCAATTCTTGTTAGAATTATCTCTAATCTTGTAGAACATTCCAGAGCCCAATGCTGAAAGTGAGATAAACTATTAGAGCTTGACCTAGCTCTAATATTGGTAGCTATGTAAAAATCAGCAAGCTAACTTAATTTCATTTCCTTATCTGGAAAATGAGACTAATCCTTATACTTCTAATATTTGATTCCCAAGTACTCACTATTCATTATACTTGTGACCATTTATAAAATTTTTATATATTATTTAACATTCCTTGAGCTAGAATAATATTAAGTAGGTCCAGTATCTTTAAAATCCATAAACTATGAAATATGGACAGCATCTTTAATCTCATTTTCTTTAACATAGAAAAATAGTATGGACTTTAAAATCCAAGATTCAGTGCCCACGAAATAATATATATCAGTCATGAACAAATATTTGATGATGTTATTGTTCAGTTGCTAAGTCATGTCCAACTCTTTGTGACCCCATGAACTACAGCATTTCAGGCTTCCCTGACCTTCACTATCTCCCAGAGTTTGCTCAACTCATGTCTATTGAGTCAGTGATGCCATCCAACCATTTCATCCTCTGTTTCCCCCTTTTCCTCTTGCCCTCAATCTTTCCCAGCATCAGAATCTTTTCCAGTGAGCCAGTTCTTTGCATCAGGTGGCCAAAGCATTGCAGCTTCAGCTTCAGCATCAGTCGTTCCAATGAATATTCAAGGTTGATTCCCTTTAGGATTGACTGGTTTGATCTCCTTGCAGCCCAAGGGACTCTCAAGAGTTTTCTCCAACACCACAGTTCAAAAGCATCAATTCTTCGGTGCTCAGCTTTCTTTATGGTTCAACTCCCACATCCATACATGACTACTGGAAAAACCATAGCTTTGACTAGATGGACCTTTTTCAGCAAGGTGCCTGTCTCTACTTTGCTGTCTAGGTTTGGTATAGATTTTCTTCCAAGGAGCAAGAGTCTTTTAATTTCATGGCTGCAGTCAATATCTGCAGTGATTTTGGAGCCCAAGAATATAAAGTCTGTCACTGTTTTCATTGTTTTCCAATTTATTTGCCATGAAGTGATAAGAGTGGGTGCCATCATCCATCCAAATAGCCCCACAACACAAATACTACACACTGCTATCTCTGAAAGCACTGCAGAGTGAAGAAGTAAGCTGTCACTGTATTTCCATTTCATTTACAGTGAAAACATTTTTGTATTGGTTTTTCCTCAGTTCAAACCCTTTCATGTCATCCCATACTTCTCAGAGAAGCCAAAATCTTCTTTAAACCTCCTTCCCCATTACATTCTCTCACTTTTTTGTTGTCTACTCTCTGAGACCACTGCATTCCATCTACACCAGTCATGCTTCCAATTCAAGACCTTTGCAGTTGCTGTTCCCTCATACTGGAAGCTTTCCTTCTAGGGTATTCCAGTGACTATTCCCTGTTTCCTTGCCTCCTTTAAGTTTCACTCAAATATCACCTTCTTAACAAGGCCTTTTCTCTCCATTCTTCCTAAAAATTTCAACTCAAGCCTTACTTTTTCTTCTTGAAACTTATCATTACCTGATTGATATACAAGCTATTTTATTTATTTTTTATAGAATGTGTCCCCCAAATAGAATGTAAAATTCATGAAGACATGGATTTGTATTTTAATTTTTTAAAAAAACTTACCTGGCCATTTAATAAATATGTATTAAATGAACAGATGCATTACTGGAAATTCATAATTATAGTCTAAAAATATCTACAAACAGGTGCTGATTAGGTGATGTAACTGTCCTTGTCTGCCTATGTCTTGAGGTAGAATTTCCTTAGTGCTTCTGCCTGATATCAGCCTCAAGCTTTCTTTTCATCTAAATCCATGTTTGTACTACTTGGATAATCACCATTAGAATCCACTTGGATCTGTGATGAAAATGAAGACTCCTCATCCTTGGTTCAGTCAAAAGCTCTGTGCTGAGAAGGAGAATTTTGCAACTTGAATTTTTAATAACCTTTCCAGGTGATAATAATTCAGTCTTACATGTGAGCGCCATCAACAGAAATATTTTATGGCCCATTAATTTTTTAATGTCTTTCTTCTGCTGTACTAAGGTATACATATCCATGTATATCTAATCTATTTCTAACCATAGACCATATTTATGTGATTCTCTTTAAACTGTGCTTGGTACAGGGACATAGTTACTTATCAAAGTATTTGATGGCTTTTGATGAAGAGGATGAAAAGAATGATAAGGACATTACAATAAAATGTGTTTTGAACCTAAAACAATTCCTTTTACTAAGCAGGATTTGGGGACTAATTTACTTTAAAGTTTGTTTTTTGAGTGATAAAGGCATTTTTTTCTTTTCACAAGTCATGTGATGTCAAAAATTTTGAACAGTTTAAGTTGAACAAGTTAACTGCTTTTCTTACAAAGTAACTATTTCAGATAAACTCTGCAGTTAACATTCAGAAATCAAATAAATATTACAAATACATATTACATCACTCAATCCATTAAAATCTATTGAGAAACATCAGCATTGCATACTTGCATTCTCAAGAACATTCATCTATATAGCTATTTGCCTCCAATGATGAAGCAAAGTAGAAAAATACAGACTGCTCAAAAAACTTTATAAAACTTGGCTGTGACCTGACCTGAGATTTTTTACAATGAGTGTGAGATTTTACAAGGCAAGAGGGAAATAAAACTTATTTGTTTGTTTATCTAACCAGCACACACATTTTTCAAACAATTCGAGTTTGGCATCACCCATAATGCTTCTCGCCAAACACTTTTTCCCCTTAATTTTTATAACCAAAGACATTTTCAGGGAGATTTAATCCACATGTTTCTGATTCTCCATATCCAGAAATGTTTCAGTAAAGCATATTTGATTTCAAGAACTTTGGAAAAAAATTCTATTATCAGCAATTCCTAAAACTACAGGTAAGTCAATGTAAATAATAGGGAAGCTTCATGGGTTGATTCAGGCATAGAAAGGTTCACCCAAAATGCAATTGGACAAATAATCCTAAGAAGCCAAATTTTTCCTCGAGATTCTGGGAAGCTGCAATAGCCTGTTTTGACTTCAAATTCCCAGTGTGGTCAAATCAGAATTAGATTAACAGCAGAAGTGGTTCCATGTGCATAGAAACTCTACTACAGATGGTTGGGTATTCAATATTTATTGGGTACATAAAGTGTGCCAGGTACTATAGCTGTAGGCAAATAAAGATGAATAGGACATAGTGTTGACCTTAAAGAACTTCCAGTTTAGTAGGTGAGGATAAGACCCAAGAGATAATAGCAATATTCTATCTTAAAACCTTAAGTAGACTGTCTAGTTCCCTATGTAGCACACATTAGCAAGCTCCCTCAAATCCTAAAGCACATAAACAGAAACATAGGACCATAAAGCTAAAAATCAGAAACTAATATCTTATTCCATTCAATTTAACTAAAATTCATCTTGTATCCTGCATGGATAAAACACATTTTAAGAAAAATATTCTGAGCCAAAGTGGTGGAGAAAATAAGCCAGAAAGAAAGAAAAAAAAGGAGAGAAAGAAAAGAAAGAAAGAGGGAGGAATGAAGGGAGGGATGGAGGAAGTAAGACAAACAAAAAGGCTCAAATAAAAGGGAGATTAAAGGAAAAATTGTAGGAAAACTGTCTTGGCTGGAATAAAGAGATGCTTGGGCTTGGAAAAGTGTATTTTGAGACAAATATTGTTACATGTGAGGTAAA